GCAGGCCTGAGGGAGACGGGGAAACTTGGCTGACTCCAGGGAATCAATTAAAACTCACCCTGTAGCCACTGGGGAAAGAATTTATTAATTATTAAGCTCCATCTGTATCGATGATGCAAGTGACTGCTCAGACTTGCAGAGTAAAAGGGATCTCAAGGGGCTAGAGAGTCCAGTTCCTGACCCATGTTTTTTTTTTTTTTTCTCTTAGCAGCTCTTTACACTTGTGAGATCTTCACTCAACCATTTTACAGAAAACAACAGCAACAACAGAACTTAGCATAAGAATGTCTGGAAGTAGTTACGATCTCAGGGTAAATAACTTTCCAGTCTCATGTTGTTTCATGATTTTTAGAGAAGAAGAAGTCCTCAGCTACCCCTTGAGGCTAATTTTATCTTAATGTCTTTATGGCCTGGCCAGCAGCCCCTGGCCCCTTCTCTCATTTCCACAATATTCTTCAGTTCATTTTCCCTTTCCTTGTTTCCCCCATGCCCCTCCAACAACACCACCCTTGGACACTGTAGCACCCCACTCATCTGGAAACACTCCTTAGTGTGAGCAGGACTCTCCAGTACCTGAATGAACACTTGCATAGCACCTGCAGCCTTTGTCCTGTGCTGCCTCACTCATTGCCCTTAGCTGATATGGCAGATGCCCAATGAAACTCAGGGCACTCATGCCTCAAGGGGCATCAGAAAAGTTCTGTATGACTCTGGCCGTGCTTTCTTCCATCCTGGCAGTGCTGTGTCTTGCACCCTACTTGCTCCTACAACATTGTGGCTTCCCCAGGATTGCATGTATAACACTGAGACCTGCTGTTGAGGCAGGAGAGTGGACTTGGCTCTGTCCTGGGGAAAAAGTAGGACTTGTGGCTTAAACTCTGCCTATTTCTGGGCTATGTGATCCCCTGCTGGCCACACTGGTCTTCAGGAAAGTATGGTCTTGGGATCTTGCACTCACTAAAGCACCTTGGTTCCTCAGGGGCCTTGTTGTGGTACCTTACACACCTTATGGCCGTTCCCTCTCCTACACTTTGGTCACTGTCCCCGACTTCAAGCTCTGCGTGGGACAGATGCTGAATGGAGCAGCCACTGTACTGGTGCGATTGCTCTGGGGCATTCTTGGATACTCTTCCTATGGGTAGATTGCCCCTGTGCTCTCTCACACACGTATCCACACACATAGATTGACACATGTGCACAAGCAAGGCACAAATCCACGCTTAGAATTGCAGTAGATGGGTAGGTGGCACAGTTCTTAGAGAAAGCGCTAGACCAGTAGCCTGAAGATATAGATGCAGCACCATGACTACTAATGATTGTGGAAAAATACAATTCCTCTCCACCTCTGTTTCCTCTTTTGTATCATGATGGGAGTAAAGCAGATGTCTCCAAGGTGAATTTTTTTCTGTGATCCAAGTGTAGACATCTAACAGAGGTATGTGGGGTGGGTGTTGTATTTGGAGGCTGGGTTTATAGCACTCAGTTATACTGACCATCAAGGCAGACTGACTTTAAGTTCTGGCTCTGCTGGTGTCAGACTTTTAGACGTGAGACAAGGTACTTTATCTCCAAACAGTGGTTTGCTCATTTGTAGAGTGGCAGTATTTAAACCTCTTGGAGTTAAGGATGATTATGTCACATGGCCATGTTCTATCGCTGATACATGCTTTCACTGGTGTAAAAATAGCTTCACTATTAACTCACCGGTGATCCTGGGGAAAATCACTGAAGCATTTGCATATGTAGGTCTTCCAAGTCCTTTGCTTTTACAATCTCTTTTTCTTAGGGAAGAGCATGACCATGGAAGTGGCTATTCAGTGATTCACTGCACAGGGCCAATGTGATCCCATTTGCACAAACTCCAGAATTGTGCTGCTGTGGAATTGTGCAGGTTTTTAGAGGCAAAACAAAACCCAGCAACAAACAAATGCCCTGCACCCGCCCCAAAAACAAATAAAACAAACAAATGGGCATACAACGCCCCTCCAAACTAAACAACCAAAACCAAAATCCGAACCTAAAACCAAAGCCAAAACACTTGCAATTTTGGTCAATTTTTTAGAACCAACCACACTCATTCTTATTTATACTTCATTTCAAACTGACATTACAAAAGCATTCAACATCATAAGTTAGAAACAACTCAAATACTCATTACTCTGTGCTTGGCTGGTAGTTTTTCTAGTGGGTGTGCATTTGAAAAATGTGCCGTGGTGATTGGGAATACTACTGACCAACTTAGCAAATCAACTACAGACAAAAAATAGCCTTAAATACATAGAGTAGGCATAGTTGGTTGAACATAGATTAGATGTTAAGAACATCAACATAATTTAAGATAAATTCCATCATTCTATTTTAATGTTTTAGATACTATTTTTCCCTATTGTATTATTTATGGATCTAAAATCTATTAGAAGACAAAACAGGAACAGCATAGCTAATACCTGAAATCTATTCCTCTGAGCGCTTCTCATTGCTAATACTTGGGTAACAATCTGTCATTAACCTATCATCTATTTATTAAAATACACATTTTACATAGAAAATACCATGTTTGTACTTGTTTTTCTTTTTCACTTTGTAATATATTCAAAACTTATTTCCATGTCAATAAACCTTTTCATGTTTGTGTGGTGCTCGGAATTGAACCTGGGGCTTAATGGATGCTATGGATGAACCTGGGGCTTAATGGATGGATGCTAGGCAAGGACTGTATCACTAAGCAACATCTCCAGCCCCAAACATAAAATTTTTGAAGAGTAACTTTTTATCTTGCAATTGTTATAGATTTACTGAAAACTTGCTAAGATGGTATATAAAACTCCAAAGTATCCCATTATCAGTTTCTTCTATTAGTAACATCAAAACAGTATGGCAACTTTGGCATAATTGGTGAACCAATACTGACACACAATGATTACCTCAAGTCCACATTTGATTCAGATTTCCTTAGTGTTTACTTAGTGTCCTTTTACTGTGCCAGGACTCTGAACAGGAGGCATATCTCCTTTGTTTCTCAGACTTTCTTTGCTTTTATGACCTTGATGGCTTTTAGAAGACTGACAGGTGTTTATTTTGTGAGATGCTCTTCTACTGGAGTCTTTCTGGAGTTTTTGCACAACTATACTGAGTTTATGTATCTTTGGGAAGGCAATCACCACATTAACTGTCATCAAAGTCATGAACTGTCAGCATGACTTTGTTCATCTCAGTTGTTGACCCCAGTTTTTGACCTGTTGGCTCAGGTGGTTCCTCTGTTTCTTTTCTTTCCTCTTTTAAGAACATCAATGTGTGCGGCCTGAAAGTAAGGAAGAATGAGTTATGTTCTTCTTCCTTGAGGACAAACTACTTACATAAATTATTTGGAAAATTTTTTTATGTGTGGTACTGAGAATTGAACCAAGGGCCCTTGCTCTGAACTAAGTCCCCAGCCTCCCACTCTCATTTGATTAAAAAAGTTGTCATGGGATCTCTAAGACAAGTCACTAAGTTTTCTGTCTGTCCTTAAACTTGTGATCCTCCTGCCCTAGCCTCCAAGAATGATGAGATTATTAGTGTGTGCTCATGCTTAAAAACTTTCATAAAATAAGAAGGTAGCACAAGCAAACCATAGGCTGTCTTGGATTAGAAAGATTTCCCTAGAGCACTGAATTGGACATGAACCTGTAGCATAGGAAAACTCCCTCCAAAGTTAAATGGTACATACCATTCGTGGGACCTGAAAATTCTCTTGGTGTTTATTCACTGAGCCACTAATCCTCAAGGCATCCTCTCAAGTCACCTCTGTCAACTTATGCTGGGTGGGATGTCATCAGTCCCAACTGAGATCTAAAAGAGTGTTTTTAATTTTTAAATCAGAGAATATAGAGGCTCTTTCAGCAGCTGGGGGGTGGTGGTGGTAGAATCCTGCATGGGGTTGGGATTTCTCCCAGAGGTCAGAACTGTTGCTACTTCATAATTCTTCGTTTTGAGGATTAGCACTGTGTTGCAAAACATTTTGAAGATGTGCTTACCAGGACTGGGGAGGAATTGGGAACTAGTACTGGGGATGGACAGGACAGGAGCAGTCCTTGGGTACTGGGCCAAGCAGTCCTGTTTGCACCAGCTGACCAGGGAGTTAGCGCACTGTGCGTACTGACTTTCTAGAAAGAGGGAAGAAGAGCTACAGTAGAGCCACTTCACCAGCACCACCTTGGCCAGCAACCAAGATCAGGACAATCACGCAAAAACCAGAGCCCAACTCCATTCAGGACTGGCTCAGGGAGCCTGGATACTCCAGACCCAGGCCTGTGGGCAGGGAACTTAGGCACTGTGATGTAGCAGGAGGAAGTCACTTCCTCTTCCTTTTGTCATTATTTCCTGTCTATTTCCCTCTCTACCCTCTGCTCTGGGAATCAAGCTCCAGGGGAGATGGAGCTGCTGTGATGTGCTGCTATGGAGGAGTATTCTCAGAACCCTGGGGACCTCCTTGCAGGTAAAAGCTTCACAGGGCCTCTCACTTGGCCACTCTGTCCCTTAAGCCTGTGTTTGTCTTTCTCTTCTGTGCTGTTGCTCTATCAGTCCCTTTCCTTTTCTGCCTCACAGTGGACCCATTTTTACTGCTGTCTCCTTCTGCCAGCATTATTTACTCTGTCTGATCCTCATTTTCTGTTCAAATTCTAAAGCACCTCTCAAAGAGACCTGTCCTTCCATCCCTAGCCCTTCTTTTCTGGTCCCTGTGTGAGTGGAAAATCCATGTGAGTGATCATCAAGAACTTGACCTCAAGGAAGATCTGCTACTTTCCCTAGACTTCCCTGGCTTATCTTCCTTTTGCTTTGAGATATTTTTCTAGGAAGAAGTCATCAGCAGGCCAGGTGTCACCCGTCCTTCTCATGAGAGTTGGGATGTTCTTGTGGACTTTCCCAAATTTTTCCCGTTACAGCCCTTGTCTTTGCCTGGCTGCCTTTTCTTAGTAGAAGAGAGTCTTTCTGGACACTTCCCATCTGGCTTTGGGGACATGGTGGGTGAGAATGGCACAGAGGTGACTGAGTTTATTCTGTTGGGGTTCTCAGGTTTCCACTCCCTCCGAGGACCTCTGTTTTGGGGGGTGCTCTGCATCTACCTGGTCACCTTGCTGGGCAACTCCCTGATCGTCGTCCTCACACTGGCTGACCCTGCGCTCCGCTCCCCCATGTACTTCTTCCTTCGCCACTTCTCCCTGGTGGAGATCCTCTACACCAGCACCATCGCGCCCAGGATGCTGGTCGACCTCCTGTCCCCCCGCCCCACCATCCCACTCTTCAGCTGCTTCATCCAGATGTATTTCTTTTCCTGCTTTGGGGTCGCTGAGTGCTGCCTGCTCACTGCCATGGCCTATGACCGCTATGCTGCCATCTGCCGGCCACTGCATTACACCGCCCTGATGAAGCAGGGGGCGTGTACCAGCATGGTGGGGGCCTCTTACCTCATGGGCGTCATCACGGGTACCACTCACGCCATCTGCATCTTCACCTTGTCCTTCCACGGTGCCAACATCATCCACCACTACATGTGTGATGTCATGCCTGTGCTGAGACTGGCTACCGTGAGCACCTTCAGGGGTGAAGTTGGAAACCTCGCCGTCACCATATCCTTTGTCCTCACGCCTTTTTTGCTGATCATGGCCTCCTACGCCTGCATTCTTGTCACCATCCTTGGGGTTGCAACACCCCAGGGACGTGGAAAGCTCTTCTCTACCTGCTCCTCCCACCTTTTTGTCGTCATTCTCTTTTTTGGGCCTGCGACTGTAGCTTACCTGAGGCCTGAGGCAGGCTCCTCTCCAGACACGGATCAGGTCATTGGCATCTTCTACACAGTTGTCACCCCCATGTTCAACCCTTTTGTCTACACCCTGAGGAACAAGGAGGTCACAGGGGCCATGAGGAGGCTCATGACTAGGTACCTCTGGAGCCCTTGACATTCTATCCCCCTTCCAATTTCTTGGAACTGAGGGCCAGATGGGTCGCCAATTTCAAGGAGGAAGGGGAGCTCGGACCAGCATTCCACAGGGTTGGACCTGCTGTGTGTTAGTGTGAGTACTGGGCTCCTTGGTCCACCCAGAGGGAGGTCCAAAGGCATAGACATGCTGCTCAGAGCTGCATTTCTATGGCCTTTTTTTATAGCCTTGACCTGGCTGGATGGCAGGTGCAGAGCTAGGCAAACACACACTTACAGATTGAGGAGAGAAGGCGACTGTGACAGTCTTGTGTAACTCTTGGTCTTCCCTGCAGCTCAAGTATCTTCCTGGGGTTACAATTCGTAAGACATCATCCTTCTTTCTCCTTTTTCCACGGACTTCTCATAGCAAGATTGTTTCTGATACATCACCCCTTTTGCTACGAAAAGGTCCTTTAATACATCTGTGATGCTCAGCATTGGTACCTGGGGTGACAGGGAAGAAACAACACCCCAGTGTGATTGTTTGGCTTTGGATATTCAGTCCCTGTGTCTTGGTTGGTGCTGGTTTAGGTGGGGGTGCCATCCCTCCTCACTCCATTCTTTCCCTGGGATCCTGGAGGTGTTGCTGTTCTTTACTCATCCACTGCTCTTACACCCTTGACAGCCTTGCTTTTGTCACCTTTTGATTCTGGTAGAAGTTCACATTCCTCTTTTTCAGAAGGTCTGATCTGGTGCATAGAATCTCAAAATGTCCCTTTTGTTTCCTGCAGCTACCTGTGTACATTTGTCCTTGGAGCGCACCTTAATTTGCTGGCCAGCAGACTTCTTCACTTTATTACTTTTCTGGGGAAGCCAGCACTTGTTTGTTCACAAACTCTTCTTCAGCTTTAAGTCACAAGGTAGAGCAATACAAGAAGTGAAATCCCTCTCAAGGCGTAATGATGAGTGTTTCAAAATACTATTGACTTTCTTTCCAGTTTACAATAGTAACACTTAATTTCAGAGAATTCTCCACCCAGAAGAAAGTAATTGCTAACATTTTGGTGTTGAGAATGTCCTGCAGTCTGTTTTTCTCTGCATAAATATACATTCAATATACATAAATATACATATATTTATGAAAACTAAAAATGAGAGTATATTTTCTAAATTTGTAATAGGTATTTTCTACTTTATTAAACTATATTTAATATTGTACATTGTCAGAAACTTCCAAGCATGATATTAATATTGATTTAGTATCCTACCTTATGGATGTACTATAATTTCAATAAATCTATAGTTGGAATTAAATTTATTTTATAATAAATATTGCTGAGATAGATTTTATTACACTTACATATTTGTATTTTTTAATGCTTTCCTTAGTGTATAATTTTTTTTTTTTTTGGTTTTTCTCCGGTACCGGGAACCGAACTCACGACCTTGCGCTTGCCAGGCAGGCGCTTTTGCCGCTGAGCTAAATCCCCAGCCCCTCCTTAGTGTATAATTATAGAACTGTTATTGCTGAGCTAAAATGTTTTTGACATATTTAGACTAAGAATTGGGAATGAATTGGGATTAGACAACCCAGGAAGAGATGGATCAGTATAGATACATATTTAATATTCTTATTAGGCAACAGCTGTGATGGGAAGGACATGAAGCTGCTTCTCCACAGCTTATCGAGGGCATGGTGAGATGCATTTGTCCTGTAAATAGACCATGAGGTATCAAAATTAGATCCAAGAAATCTCTTTCTGATAGAGTTTGTGTCTGAAGAAGACAAAGGGAGAGAGAGAGCCTGCTGTATTCCTTCTGTAGTCAGAGCTGAGTGTGGAGGAGGGTGGGGAATGAGAAGGACCTGAAGGGACTGGACTGGCTCAGCCGTAGGTGGCTTCAGGCTTCTCTCACAGGTGTGCAGGAAACAACATGTAAGGTGTTAGTATAACATGTCCTTTGCAATACTTGGGAAATACACTAAAAAAACCAAACCAAACCAAACCAAACCAAATGAAAGAAATCCACAGCACTGTTTTTGAGAAATCTGAGTAACCAGGGGTCCTATATTTTTGTTTGATAACCAGATGTTCTTTGTGCAATGCTGGGACTGCAGTTAGAAGCCAGAGTCCAGTGGAAAGCTCTGATCACCTCCTTTTTAGAGGAAGGAAGCCCCTGAGAAACAACTTAGTTTTCTTTGCTATGAGTCCTTTGCATGGCCGGAGCCCCATTGTTAGACTCCGTAAGCAGGACCTGTTTGTCTGAGTCACTTTTCTAATTGCTGGGACACAGTACTTGACATCTGCAACTTGAAAGAGGTGAGGCTAATTTTGGCTTATGCTTTAGAAGTTCAGTCTTTGCATGGTCTGGGCACAGGAAGCTGCTCATCTCATGACAGACAGGAAGTAGAGAGTAAAGGCAGGAACCAAGAAGGGACATATACCATACCAGGTCACATCCACAGTGACCCACTTCTTTGACCAGATCCCACATCCTACCAGTAAGTCAGCTACCACAGCTCCCTAATCCATTCGCCTTCCAAATACATAAGGTTTTGTGGGCATTTTAGGTCTAAACTATAACACATTCTTATCTCCAAGCACAATTTTTTCTGTGTTTCACAGGTTTGTAGTGAGTATTAAAGGCAGCCTTCCCTTGTCATTCTGTCCCACAGAATTATACGTATTACCTGAAATTAACTTTGTTTCTTTATGACTTCTTTGCCTTCACAAAAATGTAGTTTCCCATAAATGCAGGGATGTGGCCTGTCTCTTTCACCAGTGTATTCCATGTGCCTAGAATGGTGCCTGGAACACTGTACATTTTTATGAAGCCCTTGATAAGTAGATACATACTTTAAGAAAATTGCTTGACACAGTACATGGTTAATCTATTTCAGTTACTTCTAGGTTTGGTTATAGTACTGTTTGTACTTCTATACTTTGAATAATATCTTTTATTAAGGTTTCTAGATGTCTTCAAAGTTTTTGACTTTCTTCATTAAAAAAAAATTCCTCTAAAGTTCTTGGAACACCTGAAATGCACTACATTGAAGAGAAGTTAGGGAAGAGCTGTGTGTAGGATTTGGAAAAAAGAAAATCCTGGTGCAAGGTTTGAGAGGGACAACTTAGAAAGGAATAGATGGGCCACTTCCTAGAGGCCATGAGAAGGAGGGCATGTCAAAGATGAGAAATGCAGGACAAAAACTGAATCTGCAAACTCATGGAGATGAAAGACATAGAGAATCAGGCTTAGAAAATGCTGGAAACCAAGGAAAGTGGAGAGGCCAGAATGACAACCATAAGAGTGTCTGTTGAGGGTGTTACTGCACAGCCAGCACTTGCCACTGGAGACATCTCTGGTGATTTGTGTGTGCTGGTTCTGGTGGGACATGGACTCCAGTCCTTTCATCACCAACACGAACTCTGAACTTTCCCCTATTTCTTTTCATCACTTTCTCCTGATTCAGTCTCCATCCAGGAATCCTCTAGTATTGGCTAGGGTTACAGGCCTCAGTCTTGTCCTCAGAGTTCAGGGAAGCCAGTAGCTTTGTCCCATTGGCTTCTGTAGAAACTGTTGTGTTTTGTGTCCCTCACAGCTGTTAATCATGAAACTAAAGTCAATGCTAAGTGGAGTTCTCTGAAGTTGATGTAACTTTATTAGCCTCCTGTTGCTAAGTTCATGCACAGTGTGCTTCCCTACCTTTATGACATTCTATTTACAGGGCCAGTAAGAATGAACTCAGGGTGGTTTTCTGGTAAAGGAGGTGACTGTAACTTCTTCATGTCTGTAGGACATGCTTAGGGCCCAGCTAAATTTTCCACTCTTCACTCTTGATGATGTGTTGTTTGGTATAAGCTACATAGGACCAGTGGATCAAATTGCATCCACTTTGTGTTGTCATGGACAATTGTCCATATTCACTTGGTTAGAGGTCAGGTGTCCAGTGCCTGCAGGTTCCTACATGCAGCTTGCTATGTTTTAGATGAATGCCTCCCCCCAAGACCATAAAAAAGGCTCCATTCCTAGAATGGTCATATTATTAAACTTTGTGAGCAGGAGGTCATTGGAGAAATGCTCTTAAAGGGATTATGTCTCTTTCTCTGAGACTCAGCTTCCTGACTTGAGATGTGACTGAGTGTTTCAACTGTGTTCAGCAGACACTTACTCCAGGAGGACAATGTGATCTTGGACTTGAATCTCAAAAACTATAAGCAAAATAAAGCATATCTTTTATTAAGTTCATGCCTTAGGTATTTTGCCATAGTTAAACAAAGCTTAGTTACATGCAGCCTAAGAGCAGGTTCACTGATAGATGTGATTTCTTGGCCCAGAGTGTAAAAATTGGCTCCCAAATTTTTCACCTCTTGAATTGAATCCCAAATGATTCACCTCTTGGATTTACTATAGGCTGCAGTGCCACTAATAGTCTGCTGGGTAGATGAGAATGATCAGAAGGCAGGAATGCAATCTCAAGAAGCTGGAGATCATTTTTACTGTGGTTTCTAAGCCATCCAATAAACAGGTTAAAGCATCACAACCCTAAAGGGTTCATGTCACTTCCAAATGTAAGAATCAGATAATTTCTTTTGTTACAGATATTCAGTTCTAAGTTATTTGTTCTTTGGGAGTGCTGTCCATGAAAGTGATTGAAGTAGCGCTTGTGGACCCTGAGTTAGTTCCCCTGAAAGTGTTGTTATAAGAGCAAGACTGGCTCCTCCCTGCCCTGTGACTTCCTACCTCTCCCAGTGATCTCTCCCTTTCACATCTCCTCCTGCCTTGATGCCATCCCCACACACAAGATAGCTAAGATAATTGCACTACTACTTTTTAATAGTTCATTGAAAGGACTAGTTAGCGTTTAAATTCTTTGACCAATGTTACATGCCTATATCTGATAATCTGAGCAACTACTTTGAAGATAACAATATGCAATATCATAACCACTGTTAATTTCCTATCATCTTGTTTTGAAGTTTTGTATAGTTTATATTTTTAAAAATTATTCTCTTTAAAATAAAAAAGAAAAATATGACTCAG